ACTCCAGCGACTGCATCGGTAGGCGTAGTCCAGATCTTAGGCACGTTCTCATCAGAAACGGGCAGCTGAAGGAGAAGAATATGAAGTTGAAAGCAATTACTTGACCCATGATGGCAGCTGTCTTTTGAACAGAGTTTATGACGGGACCATGAAAAAATGAGAGCACTTATTGTGAGATAATAGTCAGTACCGCGGATATTGAACCGACTGCACGAAGTATGTAAGGCAGCGAGATTCTCCTCGCAGTCAAGACGGAGGTCTCCATATGCCCATTCCGATACATCAGTCACTGCTAACCATGGGTCGTTTCTATACTGTAAAAGAAAGTTTTGGATCTCTGCCGCAGTGTGCCGTTTTGGAGGAACCGTGTCTGCGAATACCCTAGACAGAGTAGCGATATCTTTCTGGGTCCAGTCTGGAGAGGCTGGCGGGCTCAGTGGGTAGATGCAGCCATTCGGCATTTGATTTGCCATGAAATGTCCGTCTGCAAGCTCCGAGTACATGAGAAGAAATGGTTCTGCTATGGCCAACCGTTCAGCATAGTTGTCCTTCTACTTATTCTGAGGCCGATTTCAAGAACGAAAGCCGAATGGATAGTGTTATATGTAGCCGTAATCTGTACCACTTTGGCTCCGAAGGCGAGTTATTTTCTTTTTCTAAAACGACATCTTTTACATTCTTACTGCACAATTTATACAATTGTATTCGTCATCACGCAGGTGAAACGACTCCATACCAACGCAACCCAAGCATAGCACCTAGCAAAATCCCGACCGCAGGAGGAACCTTGAACCACGCACTCTCAGTATAAGTAACAGCGGCGACAATAACCCACCACGGCTCCTTCGCCAGACTTTGACCATCGCGTTCCCCCGGACTCAAGTACCCTATTTCCCAAAGCCGTTACACAGCCGTAAAGACCAATCCTACTGCTGACGCATTCACACCGCGGAGGAAATCAATAACATACTTTCGCTTCCGTAGAACATGCCAGAAGGCTGAACCGCGATAGCAAGGGCGATACCAGGAAAGAATATTCCCAATCCACCAAGGAATGTAAATGTCGTGAACTGTCCGCTCAGTGACGTGCTGACTGTTGATGGACCACGTCCTCAGGATATAACAGGCCAATAATGTCTTATTATCGGTGCTTGGCAGAGTTGACTGAGGCACTTCAGAATTGAACACTTGAGAAGCTTGAGACGTAGCCGCCAGGTTCACGTGAGATCTAATTTTAGGGTCAATCAAGGCTGACTATTTTTTCTCCACATCTCCTTCTCCAGTATGATTGAGCTGAGGTAGCTGCCAACATTGGTTGAGGGGGTATAAAGAGTAAAGAGAGGTTTGTCCAGACAGAAGGCACCGTCACTCAGAAATGCACTAACTGCAACTCTTCTTCGTTATATAAATTCACATACGTGAACTTCTACTCACCCCTTCATTTCTTCCGGTCCCCGCTTTACTACTTGATATCAAATTACCAATAGTTTTTACCGGCGAGATGTCAAATACTGTACGCACTGGACCCCTCGCTTGAAGCAATGCAAAATTCACTGCTGAAAGACGTAAAGATCGAAGTCCGTCTTCGTTCGGCTTCAAAAGCCGCCCGCAATGATCCGAGGGCGACACCACCTCCCGAGAACTATATCCGTCTAATAGATGAGGGTTTCTCTGTCGACACCTCTGACGATAGCTCAGATGATATGTCCCTCGCCAGCCACTTCTCTGAGGACGACATATTTGCTGAATTCAAGTGGCTGGAGCAGATCGATGGACTTCTAATTGACCAAGACACTTTCAACTCGGGCGAGAAACTGGTCAAAAGCATCCTAGGAGATGAAAAATTGGCATGATGCCCCATAATTGCCGCATAAGGAAATGAATTTAATTGAATGAATTTTCACCTAATTCACCATTCTCTTATGAAGACTACACTCTAGGTGTATAAAACAACGTATGGTCAAGTGCTCTCTAGTTCATACTTCGGCTCTCGGGCAATTTTGCAAAGAATATGAAGCGGACGAAGGCACCATTGGGTCGCGCTAACCTTTAAAAATGGATGCTGAGGGTTTGATAAGAGTGAACCTAAGCCATGTATTCATTAATTTTATCTGAAGAAGGGCTTTTGCCATTGCTGTAGGTGGAGCACCTGCAAAATCTTCGGCAAGAAGGCCGAAGATACCCCACACATCAACAGTTTCCTCTACTCTGAGAAGTCTCCGGGCAATGTGGCAAACAACCTGGATATCGTTAGATTTACGTAAGGGATCAGGCTTTTGCAGTATGCTGGGTTGCCAACGCCCGCTGCCAAGGTTAGCTTCAACTCACAAGTTGTGGGGAAACGGATACGTACCAATTTTCACCTCTCCTTGTATTAATCTGATAAATCGCAGGAGGCGATCGCTGGTGACCCTTTGATTGTTAAAAAGATGATTGATTATCTCTATCGTGATGACTATGATGACACTTCCGAGCTCACTATCGAAGAACAAAACCGAAGCTCCCCGGAGCAAGTGGGTACCACCGGTATGGAAGGCAAGATATTAGAAACGAAGGTCTTGATTGGTGAACACAATGATCCCACAATCTCTACGTGGAGCACTGAACAAACCAAGTCACATATCAATTTATATTGTTGCCGACAAATACGCCATCAATGGACTTATGGACCTCGCTAAGAAAAAGATTAGAGTTAAATCTAACCCATCAGTGGAAAGACGCTTTCTTTATTCAACTTGTTAAGTATGTCTATGGGCCGCATGCTCCTGCAAATTTGAATTTGCAGGATACAGTAGCAACATTTACCACCCGACATATTTCCACTCTCAAAGAATTACAAAGCTTTCACGAAATCTGCAAGAAGTCCCCTCATTTTATCTACAAATTCTCAACTTTGTTGATGGAAAGGGTGGTACAACTGGAGACGGAATTATGGTAGGCCTCTACGTTTTCCTAAGCCTCCTAGCCGCAAAACTGAACGAGCGTGTCTGTCAGTAGTAGGAAATCTACTAATCTGGTTGTAGGGCAGGTTTTTGCTAGCCTTGGACGGTACATATGTGAAAGCCCCCACCGATCTAGTCGTCGTAGCCGCCCCAGCCAAAATACCTATTGCAGTGACTGCTGAAAATCTTTTAGTCACAGGAGTGGACTTCGGCAACATGACACTGAAAGGCATCATTGGTGTACTGACTGTGAAGAACGTTTCTCGTCACTTCAAAAGGCTCGAAGACATCGCTCAGTGTATCATAATGGCTACTAGAGAAAAGATTTCAATAAAATATCCAAATCGTTTCTTAACTATCTCTGCCCTACTCAAAGGCGGGGCGGACCCTGTTCCTTGTTAAGGTGTCAAGTTAAAGTAATAAGTAGACCAATTGCAGTGGATAACATATTGGGGACGTGATTTAATTCTCTCAGGATGATAAGGATTCGTGTTGGTATAACAGGAGTAAACTCGATAAGTCTAAGTAAAAGAATCCATCGCGGTATTAAAGGAAAATCGGTCTTTCATATACACGCCAACTCGTGGCAACGATTCCTAAAACCCCAGGTTGCTTGCATTCAACTTCGGGGTCGCACAAACAAAGCATTCGCCCGAATAGCGTCAATGAACTCACCCTCCACTTTTCCAGGGATCTGGATGGACGCCGTGAGGTAGACTTTACGCCCTTCGACTCTCTCTGGCCATGCATGCAGGGACAAACCGGCAACGAGACCTTTGATGCCTCCACTTTCTGTACGTCTCGACTTTGGGGGATCGGTATTCTGTATTGGGTCGTTTTTGCTAACGTTCGCACTGCAGCCCTGGCTTCGTCTCCCTCTCTCTCCAGCCTCCCAAAAACAACAGTTCAGCCTGGGCCCTTTGGAAGTACAACAAGTCGAGAGGGGATTAGGTTCTCTACAGAACCCGACAGTCATTTATGCTCTCCATCTCCGGACTTACAGGAGGGGGATGAGCCCCGAAGTAAGGGCTTTCGCTAAGCACTCCCCCTTTTGTACAACGTTCTGATCAAATCTCTCAGACATACAGCCTTGCGGCTCACATGACGAGCCCAGCGTAAGCCATGGGCGCTGTTCGAATATTTCGCACCACGACAACCACAGCATAAATATGTGTGGGACTCCCCCGTCCACCCATATAGCACAGAACGATGTAGCCAACAATCCTCTCGGGGAGCGAGAAAACGATCGGGTTGTTTTGGGTGATGGCCCACTGCAGCTGAAGCAAAATATCTTAATGCCAGCCTTGAGTCAGGGGGACCCCCTTTCAAACGATCAACGGCTGCCTTCGATCGGTGTGGTGGACTCTGGCCCAGAAGACCAACACCATCCAGACTCAGGTAGTTCCCTTTCCGCGGAGTCAAAGAAAGCATCAGTTCGTCAGAGAAGTCCGATGCCTCCTCGCCAGGTAGCAGGTGTTACCCCCAGTCCAGAACCCCCATCCACAATCACAAAGCCGCCCCGGCGGAAGTCCTTCGAAGTTGCCCAGGCACGGATTGTTGGAGGGAGAAATCGACCACGCCGCAACTGCCAACCGGGCTTTGATGTTGTTCAGCGTGACCACCATCCTGACTGCTCTGGCCAGGAAGAGAACCCGCGTCTCACGAAGAGACGCAAACGTGCAATTCGACCTGTGGGAACATTGACCAACCGTACATCTTCTGGAGCTTCCAAGAAGTTGCTACATAGCTCAGCGTCCGCGCAGTCGGCAAAGTCTTACGGCAGTCAAGATATTTTTGGGCATGCCATCCTTACTGTCGAGACTCACGCGTTGGGGACCTCGTATTTTTTCTCTTTCGAGCCAAACTCACCAAATGAGCTCGACGCACCGCAATTTCGGTTCGCTCTTGACGAGCCGCGCCGCCTGACGGCCCCTTCATCCACGCGTGGGTCGAAAAATGCTCCAAGATCTAAGAAGGGAAGATGTCCCTCAAGAAACGATATTCACACACCAGTGATATTCAACCCCATCGACGAGCGAGAATGGGAAGTGGAGCAAATCTTGGCGTCACGGATCTGGAGGGGAAAGCTGCAATATCAGGCTCAGTGGAAAGGGTGTGATTTCGATCCGACCTGGTATCCAGCACGCGGGTTCAAGGGTGCTCCGTATAAGATTCAGAACTTCCATGGAGTGTTTCCAGATCAACCTGGTCCCCCCAAAAGGTTGACGGAATGGCTAGAAGGTTGGGAGGCGGGACGAGAACTTGAGGATGTCCCAGATGATGACCTTCCTGAGTAACATGTACCGTTGGATACTATAAATTCCCAGTCTTCGGTCCTGAAACAAAACTGTATTGGTTGATCATCGACCTACACTTTGATATATGGACTTGACCTTCTTCATGCGAGATATAGAGTCACTTAGAATACTTGCGAATGAGCTCAAAGCCATAAGTTGATGGATTATCTTTCTAACAGCAAGTAGAAACGTAACAAAACAGGACAAGATACTCGAAAAAGAAGACACAGAAAATAGCACGGCATATAAAACGAATCTTCAACGGTATTGTGGATCTGAACAGGAGTTGGGCTCGGGTCCGAGATCCCCAAACTGGCCAGAATGCGTAAGATGCTGCCTTGCCCGCATTTGTTCCTCGCAAGCTAGGTGACCTGATAACCCAAGGAACAACAAAGCAGACATCTGCCTGCTGACATCCGCACTAGTAGTAGGCTCCCCGGTCGAGTTCGAGGGGTGTCTGATCAGGCCACAGTTTAAGAATCCCGTTCTTTGCAACTGTAACTTGTGCCGTGTCCGTGATAAGCCGATGCTGGTGTAGCAGATTGATCTGATCCGTCGTCCAAAATCTGCAACCAACTCCGTTTGAATCGAATTCGTATTTGTGCCGTCCATTCTCGATCAGCAAATCGTAAAAATGCCTGACCTTCAGGCCGGGGGCGACTCCAAGAAGAAATTGTGCTTGAGCATCCTTGGACACAGTATATGACAGCTCAGAGATGATTACATAGGCTTTGGAGCCTCCAGGGAGAATGGTACTTGGGACGGAGTAGCTAGGCTGGCAATCGATTCTGACAGAGCTCCGGTCGGATGTCAAGAGGTAGAGACACCAATGATTTGTGTTAGCCTTTTTGCTGTGTGGCACAGCAATCAGAGACTGCACTGGTGACTCCAGAATCTGGGTCTGGCGGTGCTTTGGTATAAAATTGAGGGGATGAAAGTTTGTCATTCTTCAAACCATGTGTCGGAGAGTCCTGGTACACGTTAAATTCTTCAATACATAACACCACAACAACATGGACACATACCCAAGCAGTAAAAGGTGGAATAACAAGTTTAAGGAAAGGCGAGGAGGATCTGTTTCGCGGAAGTTTGTCAAAGGATGGGCTTGGAGCAGTGAACGGGTGCCCTTAAATATTATCGCGTTCTAAACAGCCTAAGCGCTTCGCTGTCTATCGTCATGATGGACTGTTTCAGAACTCGTCGTGCATATGATAGATGAAAGCCTGGGAAGCCGAATTGCTATAATTAGAGGTTGAAAGTTGAGGCCAGCGCGTAGAGGGACTAATCATTGACGGAAATGCGATCAATCTTTCATTATGTGTGCCGCTCAAGGGAATCCAGCAAGAGAGGGGAGCCAATGGAAGTCAGATGTTCATCTAAACCTAAAACGATACGCTCTTATCTCAACCGACGTCCTTTAGGTGAAGCCAGCGACTGCTGAGACAAGACTGGTCAGCCGAAAACCCACCTAAGCGCTAACTGGGCGCTTGACCACCTATCAATCTCCCTTCATGGTCTGTTGCGCTCCTTGGCAATGACTAAGCCCGACCATGATAACGATGGCATCAAACAATGTTAAAAGTTTTGTACATTCAGCTTACCTACCCTTTTTTTTTTTTTTTTTTTCCCTTGCCCTCCTGTAGTGGTACCTCGATAGGAACCCAGCTTTTTCCCTTATCACGGACCTTTACACAAAATAACCGAAGAATTAGGAATATGGAAGGACCCTTACGCCCATTCACCGATGTATTGACTCCCTCAATTCTTCCGGTGGTGAATATTGCACTAACAATCTCGACAGCCGGCCAGTAAGGCCTCGGACAGGGCATTCCCGCTGGATGATAAGGACATCAATTGCGTCTCCGATGAGTCTCTCATCGACCTCTTAAAGTCTTCTCCGATCCTTTACGATTTCGGCCAAACGACGGTGGTGCGATTGTCTAAGAATCTCGTTTTAAAAGGCGGCGGCAATGTGCTGCCTTGCGAGGCAAAGATTCTTCAACTAGTCGCATCAAAGTCTAATATTCGAGCTCCTCGTGTCCATCGGTCTCTCCACTTCATGGACGATACGAAATATTTTGGCAACATGGGATATATTGTGATGGATTATATCGACGGCGAGCCGCTTGATGGCTGCTGGAGAGAACTCAGTGATGAACAAAAGATGGATGTCGCGAAGCAGACGGCCCAGATGATCATTGAAATGCAGTCCATCAAGCTGTTGGAGCCAGGCCCGATCGGCGGGGGCCCATGTCGCGGTCGCTTCTTCACGCACTACAGCGCCGGGCCTTTCAAGGACGTGGCCGAATTCGAGGGCTGGTTCAACCACAAGCTGGACATCTGTAAAGCATACAAGCACGCATCGCCAGACCTTCCGCCCTTCAAGTTCACCGAGTTTGTTCTCACCCACCAGGACATCAGTCCGCGGAACCTTATTCTGGACCGAAACGGCCTTGTGTGGCTCGTGGACTGGGCAGATGCGGGTTCGTATCCCCCGGCCTTCGAAATGGCAGCTCTATGCTCTCAGTCTCAGTTCATCGACTTTAATGACATGGTGCTGTCATTACTCCCGCGATACCCTTTAGAAGAACAGCAATTAGATTCCATTGGATACGCCCTCTCAACAGCTGCACTGGCTTGATTATTCCTGGATGGACGCCGCCTTAAACATACCCAGTCGTCCTCAACTTGGCGATCCTCGCTCGAACCACACTTTCACTACGACGGAAGGCAGGTTAATACAATGGATTATGATATGGCCTCAAGGCTAACACTACTTGAGATGCAGCGTACTGCTCTCAAAAACCCGTTGTTCAGACACTCATCAAATGGATACAACCAACCAGGGCAGAAGAACGATCTCAACGCAACAGATGTACACAACAGTCCACGACCACTGCGCAGATCTACGTGTCCTAAACCCGACCTTCGGTTATTCCGCCTTGACTCGTATCGTCGCTCACTCCAGTAGCCTCAGAAATAGTGCTAAGAATTAGTTTGTTGGAAGCATCAGAATGAATCATGGATATGAGTTGGGAAGTATCCTCTCGGTCAGCACGGCGTAGAAGATGTAAGAGTCGTTCTAGAATATTTGTATTATCTCATAGTTATGGTATCTCGCACAGTCCTTGGTATCCAACATATTCTACGCTCTCCCGTGGGCAATTGTGTGTCGGGTCATTGGCCTCAACCCGAATACTGCGTAGATGTACCATCCATATAACCAAGTATTTGGGCGTAGTCTAGTGTTTTCCTTTATCGAGATCTTAGTCCTTCGTCCGATTTGGGCGCGGGGGTTGATGAATAGGAAGTAGATGCTTAACGCGCTTTGCTTCTCTATCCAGTTAGAAAAAGAGGAAAGGGGTTGTGGGAGGGGAGGTGGGGGGGTTGGGGGGGCGGGGTTTATTGTGGCGGTTTACTGGAGAAGGGCAGGGCAATAATCCTGTCGACATTACCGGCGGGTTGTAGAGGACAAGTGTATTCGAGCCTCTGGTTCCAGTCATCATCAGCAATGAACCAAAAATGGCCTCATTCTGTGAGATACCCTCGCATGGGAATTTTTCCGAATTTCTCGATGCGTTGGGGTATATGCTCGATACTCTTGGAAACTATCTTGCCATTCTCAGGAGCTAATATCCCCATTCCTAGGAAAATGGGGGTTATTCGTGGGAGTCCTAAGACCCCTGGAACCATGGTGTTAGTTCTCGGGAGCAGCGGGGCTACCTCAGCACCTCCTCTAAGCTGTCATTCACTTCACGTAAGGTAGGTAGGACTCATGAGTATTGATTTGATCACTGATGTATACAATATGTGAGATTAAGAGCATATATTCCACTTCATTAGATGAAATGGACCGCATTACCCCATACATTGCGTCTTGACGTGGGAGTCCAACCAATCATCTCCACTATAGCAGTTCAATTATTATTGGTTGAATACTATTCATATCTCCACATTAAGGCCATGAGGATCTGGAAACGTCCAAAGTCGAACTGACCTGTGGCTCTCAGCAGCTGGCTCCTGACCGATGTAAGACTGGCAACTTAAGTGGCTGGGCTTAACTAGCCTTCCCTCGTGACATCCTATTTCATTTTAATCAACTGTTAATTAGAGCACTTGACGGCCAGACTTGCGAACGGAAGGGGAATGCAGATCAGCTAAACTTGGGTTGATTTGAAAACAAACCTAACTCCAGACGCTCGTCTGGAGCACCTGAAGTATCCACTCCCTATTACTAGACCTGTGTATCACGTGATTTCGAAATTCTAGTTTCTCTTTTACGAAGGTGAGAGAGCAGTTATGCTTCGCCAACAAGACTCTACAAAGATTATGGCCGGGAAAAAGAATAGACACGGGACTTCATTACTTAGGATTTTATACTCTAGATACTTTAATTTTTCTTGGTCAGCAATCTATCTTGAAGGCCTCAGCATGAGATCCCAAACAATATGTTCTCTTGTTTCCGGAACCTATCCCAAGCCCCACTGTATCACATGACAAATTCTGAGAACCACTCATGAGATTCACGCCCAACAACATCGAAATGCCTGACGCATGATGTGTCCACAGATGAAGAGGACAATACCAAAAAGTAAGTATTCGGAGGTAAACTATCCTTTTATCTCTTGCAAGCTGGTGTTGGTGTATATTCGCATCCATATATATCGAGCTTTTGGGAAGAAAAACCATACTCGATTTTTTGTCTTTACTTTCCGCGAGAGGACGCTCTTTTAGGATCTGGCCTTGATTTTCACTTTCCTGCCCTCTATTTTCTCTCGATATTTGCAAGAGCGCCAGCTATACGACGTCCCTTTCTTAAGTGATGCGATAGGTAACATATAGTGTGCTACTTGTTAATCAGAAGTTTGTTTGATCTGACTATCTACAGTGGACTATGGCGGCCAAATTGTATTACACACCCATACCGGAAGACATTGCGGATGACAATAACAAGTTAGTAACGGAGGCTATGAATAACGTTCGTTATCAATACTTCCCGTTTCCGTTACCCGAATTAGCTAATCGCAGTTCAGTTTGGAAGTGATTTTGAAGCGTCAAAGATAGATATTGAAGATACCTGGACAGCCTATACTATCAGACTTTTCGAGGCATCGCCCAAAAAACAGTTGGTAATATTCCGCCCACCTCCGTCGTCCAGATTCTTCAATTGTATCAGAGTCCGAAGTCCACAAAACGCGGTTGAATGGGAGATAATGCGGAAGAGTGGTTTATACATGGGGCTCATACCAGTTGACTGTCAGTTTGAGGCGATGCTGGTTGAAGTGAAGCTTATCACGCAGAGAGGGGGTTCGAATTGAAGATCACAGGCAAGGTGGACTCGTAGCCAAATCGGATAGCGTCTTCACGGGGTATAGATATAACCACTGTTGCAACGCGGTCTTCGATAGGAATCGTAAGGATAATGCTATGGCGAGATGTTGATGGAGGATAGAGTTTCAGGAGTCCATCCAACCTGGAAGGTGGAACGAGGAATGCCATTTCGATGACTTCTTGGGCAGGCCCTTTTGAATGTAAGAATGGATGTTTGATACAAAAGACTGAAACCTACTGACCGTGAACTTCAGGGACGCCATACGACCTTGGCTCAGTCTGCTGTATTACAGATTGGTCTTCCCCTCGAGCATCTTCTGCACTTCTATTCACCGCTAGTAAACAAATGTTGTTAGTTGATAATTCAGCGTACATGGAATCCACTCACACATCAAGAAATTCTTGAATTCCGGCGAATCTTGGAGTGGTTGCTCAGCTGCTAGTGTATCCAACACTTCGTATACTTGAGCAGGCCATCGACGTGGATGGTCCGAATCCAGGAATTCAACAACGAAGTCGAAAGTGCTCTTCGATAAATGGTTCGAATCCCAAACACTGGGAATAAAAGCAGCGGCCCATGTGATTGTCCCATCTGGCGTTAGGTTTCGAATTCTTTCAGATCGCTCGCGAGTTAACTTCTTCCTTTGGCGGACTGGCGGGTTGTCTAGTTTTGATTCCTCTGGGGGTCTGAAGAATAACTGTATATTTCTAATGAATGTGGTTTTATTTCTCAACTTGCCGGTGGCCCATAACTCTGATTTCATGGATTCGGCATGTGACAAAAGCTTTTGCCCTTCTAGAATGACAGTATGCTTTCTCCTCTTCACTAGTTCTTTTACCTCTCCAGCAAAGCTAGACGCAATTTTAGCAAGCTCCTGACTTGCTGCTTCTAAAGAGCTATATTGATCGAAATCGAGTTGCAGTCTTCCATGCTTCGCAATCTCTATCATCGAGTTGATCTCGACGATGAGACCCTGGCAACGACTAGCGCTGATGGTTGCCTGATATGGTGATTTGACATGTGGCGGCTCCATATTGCTTACAATGCTTGAGATCTTGAAGACGGATGACCTAAGAGGGGTGGTAGGTGAAGTCCTGTGAAATTGAGAGGAGAAGTTAATGAAGGAAGTTGGACTAGTTGACAGAACAATGGGAGTTGGGTTATTTGTGATTTTAACCCAAGTTATATCCGGTACTAGAGTGCCCTTGAAAGTTATATAATGGGGACACGTCACATGTCGGGTGGATTAAACCGGAACCAGAACGTCCAATCACACTTCTGTTCTGACATGCGGAAGAATCGGTTCCAGTTTCCTATCTGGCCGAAACTGCCAATCACGTTAGATCTTCATGATTTCAAATTTAGTAGTAAGTTGGGTGATTATAAATTACAACCCAACTTGGAGCTTTTTCATCATCTTCACGTACCTGTCTGACTCTCGCCGGAAACTGTCGTTTTCTACACATCGATTCTGCTATTCTATTATTTTCTCCATGTTATGCCAGCAACATAGTATTACATCTAAATGTACCGTCTTAAAACGAATCGATGGGCCGACTGATCTAGGCAAGGCAGTAAACAGGCCTCATGAAGTTATAAATAGAGCCTCTGGTTTATGTAGTTTAACCAAGCATGGTATTCATAGTTTTGGTTTCTATACCACTATCTGCACCTACCAAGCCTTCTCATTTCTGCATACTCTCATCGGTGCCTGCCAAATACCAATGGATTGTTTTGCCAGCATAATTGCCTTTTGCAGTGGTATTAAATGCCGCTTAGTGTCAAGTAGATGCGACGTCCAGGAGGGAAAGGTCTGGAACACATCTGCATCTGAGGCACATCATCTAACAACAGTTCAGGCCTTAATCTTCGTGGACGCCGAGAGAGGGCCGGATGACCTGGTGGTAACATTTCATCGCAACCATTACCAGGACCGCCTTCCATGGAATGAGTTCAAGTCGCTTGGGCCACCAGCTGCAACTGCAGTTGTCAAAGCTGGGTGGAAATTTGTGGCCTTAGAACAGATAGCGGAGTCAATACGCGCAAGGCGGTTCGACGAGAAGGAACTGGATAAACTTCGAAATGAGGCCAGGGACGAGCGCAAGCGGATTTCCATTCGCAAACCTTCGGATCCAGTTAGCGTTTTCGAAATAGACTAGGTCGAAGGATTGGATGGTCAGTTGCTTTAAGCTATTAGCAATAGTAGCCATGCATGTATAGATGCAGCCGATCATTGTACGTAGTATTCGTAAGTAGGTAATCAATACGGTGCCTGTCCACTCGATATAACAGGCGACGCATAAGTACTAGGAGGTGTTGGCAGGTGTGATTGTCAAAAGCCCGCCGTGTGCAGAATAAACCTGATATAAAAAAGTATTTAGTTCTGTTGAAGCCCAAATATTAAAGCATGGTCATGTCGACCAGCCCCTGGTTTTCTTTCAATCCACCATGGCTAGCTTGCAAAGGCAGCATAACACTCTCAATAAAATTCTTGAGCACACATCAATAAGGTTTATTTGTCCAGAATGTCTTCGGGGATTCCCGCGCCCCTATCTATTATACCGCCATTTTCGAGAGCAGCAGGACGACATCCATAAGGGCCTCAGCATGAGAAACACGGACCATCAAACATTCCTATTGTGTTATCAAAAGGCCCTCAAGGCCTCCATCCCTGCAGGGCAGCTGCCAGTGGATTCAAAATGCTTTGAAACTGCATATATTGTTGAGCATTATGAGGAGGATGCTGAGATACATGAACATATAACTCCGAATACAGCCAGTTAGTCATTTTTTCCCAATACGGTTGTTGTCCAAACAGAATTGATGTCACGCTCTAACGCATATATTTCTTTTTCAAGTGTGGTCCCATCAAGCAGATTCACTCTCTTACACAGGTCCATCATCCTCGGCTCTACCTTCTGATTATCTACCGCAAGGAGCGATACTTGACGAAAGCACGGTGTGGAACAACTGGGGAAACGTCAATCCAGGGTTTCAAGATGGTTTCAACTGAGATAGAGTCAATCGGGATTGCGGTTGCCGCTCCTTGTTCAAACCTAGCTTGGTCGGTGGATGGATGCGTCTTGCTTTTCTTTGAGTGATTGTAACATTTCGTATGTATATATTGACACACTGGTTTATGAATTAGCATAACTCGTGCGGACTTCCACCTTGTTGCTCAACGATCTATTTGAGGCATCCTCAATTCATTCCTCGGACTGTGATAAGTGTAAAACCAAAGTAAGGAACGAACACACTTGACCCTGACTGACAAGAGTCTCGAAGCACTCTGATTGGCTTTGGCCGGAGGAGAACACATCGTTTCATTGGACGGTTTCAGGTGGAGCCAGTGCATTCCGCTTGGCTTAAGAGCCATACCATAGAATTATTTCTATAATCTACTCGTATCTGAATGGTCCGTGAATGCTGCATCCTGTTTGCTTCATATGGTGCTTAAAATGCTGATTATGTCTGACCTGGAGAGAAAGCTCAACACACTTAAAAATATCATTGTACAAAGAAGTAAGACAATATTATTCGAACTGTCGACCAAGCTTGTTGGTAGAAATCACTATATTGGAACATTCACTCTTCCGTGGGTGTACAAACAAACAACCCCCACCCCCTCCCAGCACAAAGTTTCTCTCAAGCCGCTTACACCGCACTTCGAGTAAACCCGTTTGGCTCGACTGGTCATACGAGTATTACATTCAGCAAATCTATCTGAGTTGGCTGCCAGACTACCTTGTCTGCCGGGTGTATTCTCAAGATAACATATCACCCGCGATTGTTGTTAGACAGCCTATCGGACGAAAAATAGTAGACTAAATTCATACTCAAGAATGCTTAACAGCCTGACAAACTTGGCGCCGAAATCTTCCAATGTTTCTTCCCGCGCGTGTCGGTGGTTGTATCGTTCCCAGAGCGTCTTGCACAGCTGCTCGCAATCGTACGTTGGTGGCGATAAGAATATCAGGAGCTCTCGAGATGGTGGCGGTGCCTTTGGGCCATTGAAGGATCCATCAAAGTGCCAAGTAAGGAGAGCCAACTTAAGAAGATCGTTGTAGCTGAGTATTTCTGTCAAAGTCTCGGCGTAGCTATGGAGCAGTTCACTGCCTGCTAAGCGATCTACCCATTCCTGTTTATACCCGCTTTTCTTGAAAGCCTGGCAAGTATCTAAGAGATTCACGGCATCACGACTGAGCGTATACCGTAGGCGGTTGCAGTCATCCGCCAAGATGCTTAAGCACCGTACTTGCAATGCCTTCACTGCTGTCTGGGCTGGAAGGCGGAGAATGGATTCGGGCAAGGGAGCAGCGTTGCAGAGAATGGACTCAGACGTGGGAACAACGTTGCGAGCCTTTGATGTATAACACTTTAGTGAGGATCATAAACAATCGTGGTTAGGAAACAAACCATGGTTTTCATCAACTGTCCGGATGGCTAAGAACAATTCAGAGTGCGATCTCGTTGATAACTTGGTGTCAGAAAATACTCTCATATTTCCCATAGCCTACAACATCGCACAGTTCTTAAGATCAGTCCTTCGTTCGCGTGCAACCCTGGCATGGGAATCAAAGGAATGAAATCCTGGTTAGTCTTACCTACATAGTACATACTTCCGTGTTTGCGGAGACCCCCTGGACTCTCCATTCGGCCCCACTTTGCACATTACTTGCTGTATTGAAAACCTAGGTATTGGAGTACGATGCAAAGTTGGCTTCTAGATCACAATCGCTGGTTGCCTCGCATCTTCTCTGCTGCATATCATTGAACAGTGGTCGGACACGCGCTTAGTTCGGGATAGGTACCACAGACTAGTGATCATTGGCTAGAGACAGACGCAGGGAATGAGCTGGTTTACGAGTCAGGCGAAATCCTCTTTCGTTGTAGACCTGCACAGTCCGCCAAAACTAATTGGTTGGAACAGAACCTCGCTAGTTGTCTGATCCCTTTGGGGGAAGGGAAGATAAATAAATATTGGCTGGTTATTACAGAATAGAGATTCCTGTAATTCTGTGATAGCACCATCTCAATCAGGAGACCCGAAACGATCCTCATTACTACAACCTATCTCACAGGCCTTTTCGCACGATGTGGGACGTGATTACCATTTCCTTCATTTTCTGTTTTTGCATTATATATTATATTCTTTCTATGTGTGGAATATTCAGCTGCCATGCTCTCGAACTCTGGAGTCAGAATAGGTAAGATCCACTCTTCTTAGCATATGCTTGTTTTTACCCTGGACAATTATCAATTAACAGTATCGTAGACAAATTGCCTGGCAGTCACCGGTGTGACAAGCGGAGGTGCAAGACGGAGT